TTTTTCTCCCCTTGGACCCTCCTCTGGGTTCAGTATTTGAGCCTTTTCCTCCTCCTGCTCCTCCATACTGGCCCTACTCTCCCTCTGATCATCCTGCACCCCAGCCAGGTCCTGCTCCTACTCCTGCACTTCCTGCTCATACTCCTGGGCTTCCACAAAAGGCTCATCCTACTATGAAGTCCTCACTCAAACCTCATCCCCCTTCTCATCCTAAACACCAACCTTGCCTTTCTTCTGTCTCTGAACAGAAGCCCCACCCACCTTATTCAGGAAAATGCACTCTTCCTTTGAAGGATTAAAAACTGCATGTCCCTTGGACAAGTCATAGCTGCAAGGATAGGCAGTCGGTCTGGAAAATCACCGAGTCCCCAAGTCCTCCCATGAGTGAGCTGTCGGTGAAGCCGTCTAGTTGCGGCGGCCATTGGAGGTTGCAGAAACGGCAAAGGAGGCCCTTTCAGTTGAAAGGGCCCCAAAACTAAGATGGACTGTAATCCCGTCTACTCCATAGAGAACCTGAGGCACTGGAAAAAAAAAAAAAAGTTATATATTCTCAGTGATCACTGTTGGCATGAGCCATCTGAGAAGGGTGAGAGTTGATGCCATTGCCTTTTCTCCCCTTCTAGAAGGAAGATGAGCAGATCTCCAGGAAGGTCTCGTCCTTTTGTAGCCCACAGATCCTGTATAGGAAGTGTCTATGTTTCTTAAACTGAAAACCATGTGGATACAGGAATACCCCAGATTATTTTTTTTAAATTTTAAACTGCTTTACTCTTTAAAACAAGTGAGACACAGTCAAGGTGTATAATTTGTTTAGTTTTGATCCCTATCACCAAAACAGAGATATGGACATATGTCACCCCAAAAAGTTTCCTTCTGCCCCGTGCATTTTTCAGAGTTTCATACAAATGGATCCTTAGTGTATGTGCTATTATTTGGTCTGGCATCTTTCACTCAAGATTATTATTTTGTAATTCATCTGTGGTATTGTGTATATCAATAGTTCATTGTTTAAGTGTGTAAGTTTACATTGAAAGTTGAATAATATTGATGTTTCATTAATATTATGATATACAAGGTATCTTCAAAACATTCGTGGAGAAGTCTATTATGATTTTTAAAAATTTTTATATATTTATTTATTTGAAAGAGTTACACAGAGAGAGGAGAGACAGAGAGAGAGAGAGGTCTTCCATCCACTGGTTTACTCCCCAATTAGCTGCAATAGCTAGAGCTGTGTCAATTCAAAGCCAGGAGCCAGGAGCTTCTTCCTGGTCTCCCATGCAGGTACAAGGGCCCAAGGACTTGGGTCATCTTGGATCAGAAGAGGAGCAGAAGGGAGTAGAACCGGCACCCATGTGGGATGCCGGCACTGCAGGTGGCGGCTTTACTGGCTTCGACACAGTGCCGGCCCCCATTATGTTATTTTTTTAATATTTATTTTATTTATTTAAAAGACAGAGTTATAGAGAGACATAGAGACAGAGAGAGAAGTCTTCCATCTGCTGGTTCACTCCTCAGATGGCTGCAATGGCTGGAGCTGTGCCAGGAGCCAGGAACTTCTTCCAGGTCTCCCACACGGGTGCAGCGGCCCAAGGACTTGGGCCATCTTCTACTGCTTTCCCAGGCCATAGCAGAGAGCTGGATTGGAAGAGGAGCAGCCAGGACTAGAACTGGTGTCCGTATGGGATGCTGGTGCTTCAGGCCCAGGCTTTAACCCACTGTGCCACAGTGCCTGCCCCACCCATTATGTTTTAATTCCATTTTCCTGTGATCTCTGTATGTTTTGGTTTTTGTCCATGGTTCCTGAACCATAATTCCATAGCCCTGTTGTTTCTTTAAAAATAGAGCAGGAAGGTTAAAATATTTGGCCTTCTTTCATTGGTTCCTGAAGCAGCTTCAGAACAGCTTCAGGGTGCTGAAGGTGACAGGCAGTCTTCTGTTAAAATGTTGGGGTGCTTTAGGCCTCAGTAAACCAAATCTCTCACCTTCTCCTGTCAGCTTTTCTCCTGAACCATTTTCTCCCCAAGCCAGGTCATATAGAAACTAGAATTTCTCATCCACAGGTGGGTTGTAGACATTAACCATAATCTCCCCCTGCCTTTCTATATTGGAGCTGGCCTTGAGGAAACCCTCTGACTTTACCTTCTCTAATAGAAGATCATAAGTCCTTCTTTTAGGAAGGATCCTGTCCTGTATCTGTGGGGGAAGAAGGCACAAAAAGACCAGGAGGAATCTGGACAGACAGGCTGTGCTGGACTTCCCATCTACTAACATGGGATTATATCCTTTATTAAAACAAACAAACAAACAAACAAATAAAAAAAAAACACCCTACCTTTTGTATTGGGGTTGGCGCTGTGGCGCAGCAGGTTAAAACCCTGGCCTGCAGCATCAACATCCCATATAGGTGTCAGTTCAAGTCCCGGCTGCTCCACTTCCAGTCTGGCTCTCTGCTAAAGTGTTTGGGAAGGCAGTGGAAGATGGCCCAGGTCCTTGAGTCCCTGTACCTGTGTGAGAGACCTGGAAGAAGCTCCTGGCTCCTGGCTTCAGATCTGTTTAGCTCTAGCCATTGTGGCCGTCTGGGGAGTGAACCAGTGGATGGAAGACCTCTCTCTCTCTCTCTCTCTGTAACTCTTTCAAATAAATAAAAATAAATCTTTAAAAAAAGATGTATGTAAAAGAAAAAATAAGATTTATTTATTTAAAAGGCAGAATTACACACACACTCAGAAATAGAGGAGAGATCTTTCATTCATTGGTCACTTCCCAAATGGCCACAAAGGCTGCTTTCCCAGGTGTATTAGGAGGAAGCTGGATCAGAGGTGGAGCAGCCAGGACTCAAACTGGTGCCCATATAAGATGCTGGCATCACATGCTACAGATTAACCTGTTATGCCACAGCACCAGCGCAAGATTATACCCTTGAAAATATACTTGCTTCTTTTACAATATACTTTTTAAAAAGATTTTATTATTTGAAAGAGAAACAGAGAGAGGAAAGGAGAGGCGGGAGACTATGATAGCCAGGTCTGGGTCAAGCCAAAGTCAGAAACCAGAAACTCCATCCCGGTCTCCCACACAGATAGTGGGGGCCCAAGTACTTGGGCCACTTTCCACTGCTTCCCTGGGTACATTAGCAGGACTCTAACTGGCACTCCGAAACAGAGTGCCAGTGTCACAACTATGACCCCTACAATATCCTTTGCAATAATCCAGTAAATGTGTTTCCCTGAATTCTGAGAGCCATTGAAGCAAATTAGCCAGGCCTAGGAGGGAGTTTTGGGAACCCCAGTTTGAGGCTGGTGAGTCAGAAGTTCCAGAGACCCAGAATTGGGACTGGTGTCTGAAGAGGGGCCAGTCTTGGGGGACAGAGTCCTAACCTCAATACTATCTCCAGGTAGAGAGTATCAGAATGCAACTGGATCGGAGAACACCCTACTGATGTCTACTGCAGATGCGGTGGCTGGCTAGCTAGTGTGAAAGACATCCTCTCACTCTGTGATCTGTCCTGTGAGTGGGTAATAGGAGAAGCAGAGTTTGTTTTTCCTCTATACCCTTCAGAGACTTCTTAAGAAAATTCAGAGGGTCCGGCACTGTGGTGCAGCGGGTTAAAGCCCCAGCCTGTAACACCAGCATCCCAGATGGGTGCCAGTTCATATCACGACTGTTCCTCTTCCTATCCAGGTCTGCTATGGCCTGGGAAAGCAGTAGGAGATGGCCCAAGTCCTTGGGCCCCTGCACCCATGTGGGAGACCTGGAAGAAGCTCCTGGCTCCTGGCTTCGGATCAGCTCAGCTCTGGCCATCGGGGTCATTTGGGGAGTGAACCAACAGAATGGAAGACCTTTCTCTGCCTCTCCTTCTCTCTCTGTGTAACTCTTTCCAATAAATAAAATAATTCTTAAGAAAAAGAAAGAACATTCAGAGTCCAGGTTCAAGACGAAAATGTGTGTCTTGCTCTTGCTGAAGAATGGTGGTGGGGCAGCATATCATTGATCCATGCAGTGCTCGTTCAAAAGCTGCACTAGCAGGGAGTGTCTGCAATGTCAGTGTTGACAAGCCTGACATACACAGTGAGCAAGGCCATGGCAGGG